GTGAAAATTCATAACGGCGAGACATGTTGCTTTTCTCCTTTTCATGATATCAATAGTTAAACTTCTTAACACATTAATAGTGTTGATAGTTTTCGAACTCAAGCCACACATAATTTACATGTGGCTTATTTTTAAGTTTTACATTACAACAACAAAAGTTTTGTAAAACAAAAATATTTTTTTTCTAAAAGAAACAATTCTAGTGACAGAAAAAGATAATTCCTGCAAACAACGACATAAAAAATGGTCCAAGCATTCCTCACTAATAAGAACATCCATTTATAAAATACAGTATGTTACTAGTTCAATTAGTACAATTAAATATTTTAACGACTTTAAATTAGTTAAAACAAAAATAAAAATAAGAAGCAAGGGCAAATGATAAAGTAACATAAAGCGAACAATCATATCGTATTAATTATGCATTTATCAAGAAGCCAAGATAATCCGCATGTGTAACAAATGGCAACCAATCTATAGTCAAAATACCACATTTCAAATGTATGGGTAAATAATAATATTAAATTATATAATAACAACTAATGTGATGCGCAACAAATATAAAAGTAAAGTAAGCAAATTCGCAAGGGCAAATAGAATTACAACACAAATATTCTAGATCAACTAATCTACAAATAAACATTACCATACAAAGATTGAACTGAAACATGAGTAAGGGTTTTTCTAGTAGTTATTTTATTGTATATTAACAAAGGGCTAGCAGTAAGTACGTGCGCACTAACAATTCATCTGCTGCATAATACTGTCATTGTCACACATTTTTCACAATATACCCCACATGATTAAAGTTACGAAGAGACGGCCGGGACGGGAGAGGACTGGGTCCCCGACGGCCCCGCTATTCCTGGCTGCGGTGGTGACCATGGTAACAGCGGGACAGGGAGTGCTAAGAATCTCCGGTGGAGGATCGGTTGCCACCTAAGACAACTCGACCTGGCAAAATACAACGCACGCACCCTGAGGACTGACGAAGATACTGGAGCTGGAAAAGAGATAAACAAGTTGCGCTGGAATATTATAGGATTATCTAAGGTCCGAAGAAAAGGGGAGGACATGATAATCCTTGAATCCGGCAACTTGTTCTATCACCGGGAGAGCGACCATCTCTGTCCCAAGGATGTGTCGGATTTATCGTCCACAAGTCTCTCGTTAAGAACGATTGTAAAGATTGAGAGTGTATCTTATACTCCGAATCACCAAACGGTATTCGCTGAAGGTCATACAGGTTTACGCACCAACCTCGGCACATACCGATGAGGAGGTGGAGGAAATGTATGTATATGTAAACCCACTACACGGTGTTAATGGGTGACTTCAACTCAAAACTAGGCACAAGAGAAAACGGCGAACTAAGGGTAGGGAAATTTGGAATAGGACAACGGAACCCAAGAGGCCAGCAGCTGGCCGACTTCATGGAGAAAGAGGGACTTTTTTTTTTTATAGGAGAGGGGGCAAACGAGCATGCGGCTCACCTGATGGTAAGTGACTACCGCCGCCCATGAACAACCGCAACACCAGGGGAATTGCAAATGCGTTGCCGGCCTTTTAAAAAGGAGTAGGCTCTTTTCTTGAAGGAACTCTTTATGATGAACTCTTTCTTCTAGAAGCGGCCCAACAGGAAGTGGATCTGGTTGAGCCCCGACAAAAAATGAGATTGACTTCATTATGACGACCAGACGACAACGGTTCAGTGATGTTTTAGTGATCGCGAGGGAGAAAACCGGCAGCGATCACCGAATGGTGAGAGGCACACTGAACCTAAACGTTAAGTTGAAGAGGTCACGTCTAATGAAGTCAACGCTCCGTCCCCCTCGTGCTCTAATCCAAAGTCCCGAAATCTTTGAGCTCGAGTTACAAAACCGTTTTCAGTGCCTAGAAGATTGCAATGCAATTGACGATATGAATAACAAGCTCGTGGAAACTGTCCGTGCGGTCGGAGCTAAGTTTTGCAAGACCCGCCGCAGTAAAACACAAAAACTCTCCGATGACACTCTTAATCTCATGGCTGTTAGACGGTAAATGAAGCTGCAGTCTTCAGTAGATTTGACAGCATAGAAAAACTGAACAGAAAGATCTCCTAATGCATGTAGCGGGACTAACGCAACTTTAACACTGCTTGTATTGAAGAAGCGAATGGGCGGAACCTGGGCTCCAGTCTTTGCCTGAAGACTGAGTGTGGCAACGTCGTTTCCGGGACACCTGAGATTTTGAGTAAGATTGAGAGGTTTTATGGGCAGCTGTACACATCATCGTTGGAGCCACACGCAAGGTTGAGTAACGATCCAAGAGCAAGTCTTACCCGACACTATTCCGGACGTCAGTTCTGTCCGTTCTGAGCCGCGTCTACGTGCTGTTTTCGAGTCATTACGAATCGTCTCACATGCAGACTCGACGACTTCCAGCCGCCCGAACAAGCCGGTTTCCGAAAAGGCTATAGCACCATAGGCCACATACATACCCTTTGAAAAATTGTACAGAAGTCCAAGGAGTACAATTTGTCACTATGTCTGGCGTATGTGAACTATGAGAAAGCCTTTGATTCCGTCGAAATTTGGGCGGTGCTGCAGTCCCTTCAGCGATGCCAAGTTGACTGTCGGTATATCGAAGTGCTGAAGTGTTCGTACAGTAGTAGGGCTACGATGGCTATCCGAGTACAGAACCATAGTACGAAACCTATCCAACTGCAGAGAGGTGTAAGACAGAGTGACGTTATATCCCCGAAACTCTTCACCGCTGCATTGGAAGAAGTTTTCAAGCTTCTGGACTGGAAAAGATACGGTATTAACATCAACGGCGAGTACATCCCTCACCTTCGATTTGCCGACGACATAGTCCTTATGACAGAATCACTAGAGGACCTAAGCATCATGCTATTTACCTGGGACAAATAGTCCGACTAGGTAAGTCCAACTTCGACCGAGAGGTCAATCGACGGATTCAACTCGGTTGGGCAGCGTTCGGGAAATTACGGCACATCTTCTCGTCAGGTATACCTCAAAACTTGAAAACGAGACTGTACAACCAGTGCGTGTTGCCAGTGATGACATACGGAACTGAGACGTGGTCCTTCACTGCTGGCCGTATGAGGAAGCTCAAGGTCGCTCAGCGAGCTATGGAGAGGGCTATGCTCAGGGTTTCTCTGCGTGATTAACTTAGAAATGAGAATATCCGCAGTAGAACCAGAGTGACCGACATAACGCAACAAATTAGTAAGTTGGAGTGGCAATGGGCCGGCCATATAGAAGAACCGACAACCAATGGAGAAAAGGTTCTCGAGTGGCAGCCTCGTACCGGAAGGCGAAATGTAGGGCGTCCTCCCACTAGATGGAGTGACGACCTGGTAAGACACGCAGGAAGTCGTTAAAGAAAATAAAATTCGTAATACATATTGAAATTAAAATTTGAAAAGTGTACATATGGTATTAATTTTTTGACATTATTAATACCATCTACATTTTTCTCAAGTCACACTACGGACTACCTAATACTCTGTGCAGATGTAATGAAAAATAAAACAAGCTGAAAGATGGTCAGCGTTATTATACTATACCCACAATATATTCATTTTACATCATGTTATTTGGATTGCAGCGTTACCATGGCTTCTCTACCACATATGAGTAGCATGAAAATGATAACCCTTTTTAAATATGTTCTTAAAGACGATCAACAATTCGCACCGAACAGAAAAAGCAGTTTAACGTCACTTTGTAGCTTCTAATAGTATATCTTTAACTTTAAATTAAAATATCAAAATTTCTTCATTTGACTAACAATAGATTGCAAGTTTTATTTAATATCCACGTAGGGATTGTACGCATTCACGCAAATGCACACACACTTAAACATTAGCTGCAATTAAATTAAACAAGTGATTTTATAAAGGATATGTTATTTGATAAGAATATATTATTTAGATATAACTTTTTAAGCATTAGAGAATTTAAGAAATAAAATGATGGGTTTGGATTTGTTAGAGTGAAAATCGACACAATGTCAGTTGTAGAGATATTTGATAAGTACAGTTTTAAGGTATTGTTTGCATTTGCTTTTTTTGAATTAAAATAGCTAGGTTTGAATTTTTTATAATACCACTTTTTTCATTTCATATTGTTACATCATGGGAAGTAAGTTATAATCAATTACAAAATTAAACATCAAAGAGTATGAGTGTGAGAGAATAACATCAAAACTCAAAGTACACTTTACTTTTAGAGAATTTGGCACTTTAAAACAAAGCGCCGTAGTGAAAGGTTCTTTACTAACTTGTTTTATTACTTGTATTTTATTACAATAACCATAAGAATAAAATAGTATTCTAGTAGATACCACACGCAATTCTCACATAGGTATATTACAACACAATCAACCACTCACACACTTACACCTACACCAGTATACGCACGCACGCACACACGCACGCACGTACGTACGCACGCTCGTACTTACGTACGTACGCACGCACGCACGCTCATACGCTCGTACGCCCGCACGCGCCCTCACAGACACCCACACACGCACGTATGAACGCACGAAATCACGCGCGTACGCACGCACTCACGCACGAACACACGCACGCACGCACGCTCGCTCACACGCTCACACGCATGCACGCTAGCACGCAAGCACGCACGCCCGTATACGCGCGCCCATACAGGCACACGCGCACATTACATACACACGCGCGCACACATATGAACACGCGCGCACTCAGGCACACGTGATCTCGCGCGCACACTCGCGCACGCACTTACACATACACGCACATGCACACGCGCACCCGCATCCGCACGCGCACATTTACACGCAGGCACGCGCACACGCACAAGCACGCACACACACATGCACATGCACACGCACACGCACGCACGCACGCACGCACGCACGCACACACACACACACACACACACACACACACACACACAGAGACAGTGTTGTTACTAAATAAACAAATAAATAAACATAAATTATATTTTTTTGGAAGACTAAAATAGTAATCTATTTTATTACTAGAATAGAAAATTATTTAACAAACACAATAAAAAATGATAGCAAAATAATAAGTGCGCCTCCGGGTGTACCGACACTATCTTAGCGAACAGACTATACATGAAAGCGAGTTAATAAAAACGTGGTAAAGGAATGGAGGAAAAGATAGAGTACTATGTAAATATAATAAACAAGAGATTCATCATAAGTTAGTAAAATATCACGTTCTACTATAAACATACTTAAACTAGATTTCAGTCGTATGCATAATATGCGAAATTTTCATATCGTAATGCAAACTCATGCTTGACCTATTCCATGATTTGTTATTTGTCTATCGTTTTAAACAGCATAAAGTTAAGTTAATACAAAGTTAGAATCACAACCATTGTTAAAATATCTTCATTACAGACACCTAATTAGGTAAATCCTACGAAAAGTGTGAAAGTATAAGGTGGTGAAGCTACAAGGTGATGTTAAATCGCCCGAGTGGTGACAACAGTCACCCTGTCACAGTTAATCGCTTTAGCGATTCCATTTAAGTGATTTCGTACCATTTCTAGGCGTCAAGGGCGCGATGGCCGCCGCCGAGTCGTCAATGGAGTACGTGGCTGTTGGACAGACGCATTGTCTTATACACGAGCCAACACACAGGCCTTTGTCTGCAATAGATTTGAGCCAATGTAGCTCTTACAAGCATATATTTAGAGTGGAATTTTGATTGGTCCTTATATGCAAAAGAAAAAAATGTACTGTTTGCTTACATACAATCAAAATCCATTTTGATTGACTCTTGATTCGTTTGAAATTCCCTTTTTTATGATACTCCAATAGGAAAGATAAAATGAAAAATACCGCAACCGATTATTGCACTAATTCTAAACTACAAAGACAAATTCTAATCTACTACAGTTACAATTGCAACGAATACGTAAATTTCACAAATACTCAAAAGATAATAAATCATAATTTTTAGTAATATACTCATTTAAAGCGACTTTACCATTCGTTACAACCCCAACAAATATGGTTAGTAAGTATAAAAAAAAAACACCGTTCCGACCCAAAGATACCATATTATATATAGACCAACTTACATGCTATATTGCAGTAATATAGCTACTGTATTATAGAATGTAAGTAGCAAGTAAGTAGACTGTATTATAGTTTTTACTACATTTTTGTTCTGTTAAAGCTATTCCAAACAGTCTTTACATGTAACTTTAGTGCGGTCGGACCGGTTAAGTTACATTCGATATAGGTCGCACGATTCTGAGCTAAAGCATATTAGCACAAAATGCTGTCATATTATTAGCAAAAATCACATTTAAAAACGTCAAGTACGGCTTTATTTGCGAACTATATCACAATAATACAAGGTTAATAAACTATATACTTTGTGGCAGTGGGAGCAGACGTGTTACAGTGGTGCATGTGGCTGCTGATATATAATGTAAAAAAGGTATTACAACTAAGTGAAGCCTTAAAAATAACGTGATATGTAATTGATGTGGATAAACATGTTTCAAGAAACTATCCTAAATAGATATTTCTTTAATACAAGGAAAATATGTGTGAAGATGGTCCATTTACTATATTATGTATAACGTAAAAAAATCGCAAAATGATCAGTAGTGTATAGGATATAGAAATTAATAATTTAATAAAAGATGTCACTCATATGTTTTTGCTGCTCGCGACTTCACTATCACTTTAAGTCAAAGTGACTGTGACATCACGAGACTTACCGACATCCTAAAATTGAGTAGCGTTTGAATATTTGGCCATTACAAACAATCAGTACAAAAGTAAATTATATTGTGCATTTTAATGAAACTAACCTAACAGATTCTATCACACTCAATTTTAACTTTAGCTCACATTTTCGGAGTTCTTTCTAGCAACGATGTCTCAGGGATGAGTGTACTGATGTCATAGTTACCCTAGGCTAGCAGAGCAACCTACTTAGGAAAGCTACCTCTATAGCTTTTAATTACTAGTGTGAAAGTATTTGTGTAAATATAAGAAATCTTTACATTAAATATAATAGTAATAATTACAATCGGCATAATATGCAACAGTGTATCATCTTATTGAAGTAATGTCATCATAACATTATATAATAACGACTAAATTATTTATTATACGTGACTTGTAGAGTATGAGCGACACCTATTATGCGCCCTTGTATTTATCCTACAGCTAGAACTGATTAATATCTTAAATCTAAACCAATTTAACACCTAATACCAAAGTATTAGAGTCGAAAACTGACTTACCGTTGTATAAACCGGCTCGGCCACGTCCATCGGAGTAGGTTTGCCGCCTAGCAGGTAGCGGGTTTGTACCATCCAGTAGTGAACTTTTGCCCAAAATTATGTGATCCTTTTCGTTTTCAGTCTCTTTTGCACAATTTCTCATTGCACTGAAAATAAACAGAATTTACTACAGAAAATACGTTGGTACAATATTTCAATTGAAATGAAATGAAATATTGAAATATTTATTTATTTGCATTTGATTAAGGTTCATTGAAGATGGTCACAGTAATTAAACATCCGCTTAATCAGCCATTATTAATAGCATGCAAATCTTTCAAACTATAAAATATCGAGATAATAATATTTAAGAGTAGTGGTTATAACAAAATGTCAACAGGTAGTCAATAAATAGGAAATAATTAATAAACGTTTCATAATTGGTCCATTAAATTTGTTTGTCAAGTTCTTATTACCTATCGTAGTTCAAATATTCCTGTACAGTGTAAAAATACTTTTCACTGAGAAAGTTGTATAAATCTCTTTTAAATTGAATGAAAGGTAGGTCTCGATTTACTTGTGGTATCTTATTATATATTGTCATACACATCCAGTAGCAATTTTTATGTAATCTCGCACTCTTAGTAATTATAGCGGAAACCAACCTATTCCTATTTCTGGTGCTTCGTTTATAGACGTCTTTAGCTTGTGTAAAATAATTTATATTGTTCTTTACGAATTTTGCCGCTTCAAAAATATATAGACAAGGAAGTGTCAAAGATTTAAACAAAAGCTGACATGGTTCATCAGGTGCAGTACCACATATTGCTCTAACACACTTTTTTGTGCAATAAACGCCTTTTTTATATCCGTGCTGTTACCCCATATGATCAGTCCGTATCGCAGAATTGATTCAGCGTAAGCAAAGTACGCAATAAGAGCTGTACTCCTTCGTGCTATTTTTGTCAATTTATAAATTTATGATTTTATTGATTGTAAATCACACAAACGAGCAGTGATCTGATGGTAACTAGAATAGTAAAGAATAGAATACAATATTTCATTGAACAAAGAATATTTAAATAAGCTTATTAAAATTAAACTTTGCATTTATCACAAGTCCTGTGAAATCGGTCCTGGGAAGAACCAGCAAGAAGCCCTGCGAGTAAGTTTACAATAATAACATAGAATTATTTATATGAATTATTATAAAAACATACTCTACAGTGGCCTAGTGTTATATAAACCATTTCCCATGTAGTGCCGGTGTAAGGATATCCACTATCCCATATCGCCCCATGGGTGTCGTAAAGAGGTGACAGAGGGAAACTGAAATAGGATAAGGACAATATGGGCAACATCTTCCTGATAACTTAATTATAATAAAAGACTTCAGAAGCATTTCCTTGGCTACGGATGTGTACATTAGTATTTTATACAGTAAACAAGTGTAAAATTTACTTTTATAAAAAATATAAAAGTGAATTTTACACTAGTGAGAGGTGAGAGGTAGTTTTTTTTTATTAAATAGACTTTGGGTGATAAAGGAGCGCGCAGTCCACCTGAAGGTAAGTGAATGCCCATAGACATCTACAATGTACATCTATGCTCGAATAAGAATCACAATACAGATGTGTTGTCACCCCTGAGGACTAAGATGGAATGCTTCGTTTCAAGTAAACTCTACACTCGCCATACAAAACACAAAAGCAGCTGCTACTTCACGCTGGTATTCTGTGAGAGCGTAGTCCTGCCCCGGTCGAGCCGACCCATTCGTGCTACAACTATACTAGTAATATAGCTGCAGCATGGCTCTACCACGTGCAAAACATGACTCTACCATATGCAAAATTTTCATCATGTATTAGTTTTGTTTTCCTTTTTTACCACACTTGGATTTTCTCCTGTATCGTGGAGGCAGTATACAAACAAATTGCACAAGGACTAACATCCAAAACAATTATTTATAGACCATAAAATACCTGTTTCTTGTTGGAACCTGTGGCACTCAGAGCCACAACTCAATGCCAATTCACTGTTTGCCATCTCACTTGGATTGGCAGTACTAGACGTCTCTCACGTCAGATTCTGCTCTCCTCCCTCCCGGTATTTCACGTCTAGGATAAACGATTTGATTATACATGTCTATGTATTTCCCCAGTCTAGCCAACCCATTCGTGCTACAACCTTGTGGTTAAATATAGCTGCAGCGTGACTCTACCACATGTAGAAGTAAGATGGACTCACTGGTATATCGTGGAGTGCATGCTCTGCGCGATGTTCGAGTCATCGGAGTGCATCCACAGCTCGCCCGCACCCGTCGCCGTCTGACGCCCCACCTCCATATAGAAGAAGCACTCTGAATCGCCGCATCTGTGAAATGTATGATTTTAATTTCGAAGAATTATTTCTTATATTTACGACACAATATACTAAAATCATTATAAGTAAAAATTTGTAAAGATATTTGCATGTTTCATATTCAATTAAACAACTTTACGGCCCTGGGTTCTAGCCCTTCTGAGAATGTCACTGTATGACACAAAGGCCCTGGAGCCATGCCAGAAATATACATTTGTAGTATGTAAATATATAATAGAGATACAATAATCTAAAACCTCTCAATTATGTAGGTAGGGCACATTATGTTGAGAATGTATTAAGCTAACATCAAACAACCTCAGGACGCATGACTTTCCAAGTGACATAAGACATAACCTAAAAAGGTTCAAATCTAAATATGTTTTTTTTACGCCTTCTCAGGACAAAATTCTTTGACAGAGTTATTAAGGGAGTGACGCTTAATATTTTAAGATATTTTTGAAATATAGACGCTACCATTCATTCTCAACTAATTTTATGTATGAAAGTTTTATGTCTGCCATTGTTCTTCTGACAAAAATAAAATATGTCTTGACATACTTTTTAGTAGGGGAAAACCAAGAAGTAAACTTTTTGTATAAAACTTAAGAGTCAAACGAACCTACAGCCTACCAGATGGTAAAAGCTATTGCATCTCATGGACACCTGCAATCAACTTCAAACGTAGAGGCAACAGAAGTGTTGTCTCCTTAGAAGACTAAGATGGAATGCCTGTAATTTTACACGTGGTATTTTATACGTGGTAGAGCCATGCTACAGCTATTTTACTGGTATAGTTGTAGCACGAATGGGTCGGCTCCACCAGGGAAGGACCACGCTCTCACAGAATATCACCGTAAAATAGCAGCTTAACGCTGCTGTGTTTCGTATGTTGAGTGTAGAGAACCAGAGACCCTTTTTACTGGAAACGAGGCATTCCATCTTAGTTCTCACAGGTGACAACGCATCTCCATTTTGATTCGTAATCGAGGATAGATGTAGATGTCTATAGGTAACAGCAACCACTTGGACCACCAGGTGGAGTGTGTGCTCGTTTGTCACTCTATCCTATAAAAATAATTATACTGGCTCTCTATATCATTCAGATCGGAACAACAGTATATGCACTGCTATTTGGCCAGTTTTTTTAGGATTCAGAAAGAGCCCTTCCCATTGATTGATCAAAGAGGTGTTTCCATAATGGTAGAATACAAAACTGGAATAATTAAAATGTTAAAAGACACTGTGAAGGGAAAAGACGACGGAAATTGAAAGCGTGCTGCTTTAGCACACACTGCATCCATGCACAAGGCGTATATTGAAATGGCTATAGAAGAATGGGCATTGAAATTTTGAAATACCCAACACACTGGCCAGATTTAGACCTACCGCATACATAGAATTGTGAAATCAATGAAACTGTTGAGTTGTACGTTTGTAACGATTTCATGACGGTTAAACTGTTATGTATGCGCCTAGGCTTAATAAATAAAATAGTTTCTAGGGAAAAAATTGTGGAAAATAGTTGTAGTCCTGACTTCTGCCTATTTAGAAGAGAAAGACAAATAATTTTCTGACGGTGTAGTTAGGCCTTCTTTCCGCGAACTATGGAAGTAAATACGATACTAGGGTAGGTAAATGACCTTCCTTAGTATCCCAGTAAACTGACCTTCTGATATTTTTTAAGGAGTACTCCACCCGCTCCGGTATGCCGAGATCGCTGATTATATTGTTGTGGCTTTTAATCTTCACCAGGGTAAGGGTCTTGTCCGTTAGACAAAGGTTGTACAGCCCCTGGATGTTCTTTGACGCGCCCAGGCCTTTCTTCTGTACGTTCACTTGCCATACGTGTTCTGAAATAAAACGGTATAAATGTGAGTAAATACAATGGTTTCTTATGTTTACACAAATACTACACATGGAATAAAACTAATTTTACGGATTTTGTCGCGTTTAATTTAATTTATTCAATGTCGGTAAGTAATCATAAAGTTTCTTTGTTTATTAGTAGGTATAATAAAATAAAAAAATCACCAAGGAAGGTCAACATAACATAATAAAAAGTAATAATTAAAATACCTATAAATCTTCACACATCAGTCTCTAGATTGAATCTACTTTCAATAAAAATGTATTAATGTGTGCACTTCTGGTTTCCTATGAATAAATGAATAAATAAGTACTATCTAATATTCTTCAAGCTTACAATCGACCTGATAGTAGATAAAGATTCATAGATACCTATATTTATCCTCAATCTAGAATTTGAATGTAGTTGCATGGTCTTCTTTTTATAGGAGAGGGGGCAAACAAGCATGCGGCTCACCTGATGGTAAGTGACTACCGCCGCCCATGAACAACTGCAACAGCAGGGAGGGAATTGCAGATGCGTTGCCGGCCTTGTTGCCGGTCGCCCCTGAGGTTTAAAATCAAATGCCTCGTTATCAGTTAAAGGTCACTGTTTTCCGGCACTACCCATATGAAACACGGTAGCATTATCAATACGCATATCATACGCTGATAATCTGTGCGAGCGTGGTTCTTCCCCGGTGAAGCCGACCGATTCGTGCTTCAGCCACGATACACCTGACTCTATCTAAATTATTAAGAACTATTGAGACTTGAGATAGATTGGGAATTTGACTTGGGTTGGTACAACAAATGACAAATGGAAGGGCCAAGCTCTTAAAGCTAAGCATCTTTGTCATGAGTATAAATTATTCGGCACAGTGTCTGTCAATAAATAATTAAAAATTTTGTACAACCGACTTCAATATATATCATTAAGAATAACTCAAAAACTATTGGTCAGACCTTGATCAAATTTATATGGGACCACACGTGAAGCACCAGCTTTCAAATAAAAAAAGAATCGTCGAATCCGGTTCACCCAGAAAGAAGTTATGAGATAACACACATAAAAAACATATAGTCGAACTGAGTACCCTCTCCTGTTTGATGTCAGTAGAAAATAAACCACTTCCACCATCATCGTTATCGTTACAGCCTATGAAAGTCCACTGCTGAACATAAGCCTCCCCAATAACTTGCCTCATATATTACATGATATTTGCCATAGTTGCCACGCCTGGCAAGCGGGTTGGCAACCTCAGTTTATTTTTTATTTTTAGCCTTTATTAGGTAGACGCTGCTGCCCATCTCCTGATTTATTGCCCAACACCCTAGGTCTGATACGGGATAGTGGATATTCTTACACCGCCACTACACGGTCAAACACTCTGTAAGGAGAATTAACGACCGAATTATCCATAATATAGCTGTAGCGTGCCACTCTGCCACATAAAAATATTAATTTTCGCATTACCACGTATATATACGCATTTTCCATAAACACCTCGGGACGACACCTACGGGACGAGTATAGATTGACCCATTACCATGTGATAGAATTAAAAAAAAACCGGCCAAGTGCGAGTCGGACTCGCGCACCGAGGGTTCCGAACAAATTCGTAGGTATATAAGTTTAAAATTATTAAAAATATTTTTATTATAACATGTTACTAAAAATTTATGCTTTTCGCAAATTTTCCTTTATCTGTGCTATAATACGTTGCTTCGTACCATATTTTAAGATTCTGAGTTCACGGGAAAGTACCCTGTAGGTTTTGATTCCCTTGCGAATGTCGAAAATTTGCGGCATCAACGGCTGTACCTTTTGATTGCGTTGGCTTAGAAGTTTGATTTTTTCACAGCTCAAAGGGACAGTAGACTTGAGTATTTGATATGAATTTCAGCTTGATACCTCTACGCGTTCCTGAGAAAAAGGGTCTTGACAGACAGACGGACAACAAAGTGATCCTATAAGAGTTCCGTTTTTTTTCCTTGTGAGGTACGGAACCCTAAAAACTGAAGTTAAAGTCAAAAATAATCACATTATTTATATTTAAAAAACAATATATATATACAAAACTTTATCTCATTGTTCATATTAACGTCGATCATGCGTTCATTTTTAACTCCTGTTTGTTTATTTAAGTACATTAAAATTAATTAATTATAACATACACATAATAATAATTGCAGTTAATGACATTTCCACATTATTTACATTGATCAAAAGGAAGACGTGTAAAACGTATAAATAGTCGTATAATAAAACTGAAATTAATAAGAATTCACTAATTGGTATCAAAACAGCGGTGACCGTGACGAACTGCGAGATTTTCAATTGGCTTATTTGTTATTGTTGGGCGACAATAGTAGACACTGCGAAACTGTGACCAATTATACTAGCTGGCTACTATAGATATCATAATCATCATCATTACAGCCCTTCAAAAGTCTACTGTTGAATAACATAGACTACCACCAAGGAATGCCTCAAAGCACTGTCCCATCCATCGACTTCCTGCATGTCTTGCCAGGTCGCCACTCCATCTAGTGGAGGGCCCGCCTTACACTTCATCTACCGATAAAGTTATTATATTCCACGATGAAGGTTTCGCCTTGATTGTAGTAGTGACGTGAACCGACAGACGCGTTTGTGTGTGTGTAAGTGTAACTGCGATTCGTTCGACTCGCGATCGTGACTGAGCGCTTCCGAGGCTTACGCACACTAACATATTGTGTATGTGCACGGCTAACTACAACCAAAGTCAAACCTTCGTCGTGAAATTGAATAACTATACCAGGCTGGCACTCGAGAAACCTTTCATTCCCATCGATCGTCGGTTCTTCGAGCATTTATGGCCGGCTCATTGCCACTTCAGTTATCTACCACGAGGAGTGCTCAGAGAAATCGTTCGGATTAATTCCAGCCGTTCAATTTCACCACCGCACATCGCGATTGAACTCGAAATACCATCCGTACCGCCTAGATGATTAGCGGTCCACTACTGTGCGTTTTAGAAGAAGTTTTCTTCCTCGCACAACTTCCTTGTGGAATTGAATACCACCACCAATTTTCCGGACCGATACAACTTAGGGACCTTCAAGAAAAGAGGCTACTCTTTTTTAAAAGGCCAGCAACGCATCTGCGATTCGCCTGGTGTTGCAGTTGTTCATGAGCGGCGGTAGTCACATGCCATCAGGTGAGCCGTATGCTCGTTTGCTCCTTTTCAGATAAAAAAAAATACTAATCCGTAAAACATATTGCAATTTAAACAAAAAAAACTAAAAGAAACAATAAAAACTTGTAAAACTAAAAAGAATACAACAATTTGCACATAATATCTTAAGTCGAGGCTGGATTTTCGATACACCATCACTTAGCACCGAGATTCAGAAGCTAATATTACATAATATGTGCAAATTATTTTATTCTTTTTGGTTTCGAAGTCGGTTTCTGACAAAGTTTTCATTAGCCAGTGGTTCAAGGTCACACAACTAGAATGTCATCTAAATGGTTACATTAATAACTTCATCCGCTATTTTCCCACCATTATGGGAGATTTCTTTTTAAATTTATATGGGGCACTCCTGGATTACAACTTATTTAATACAGGAAAATAATTTAAATCGGTTCGTAAAAAAATAATTTATGTATAATATACATAAAGAATACAGGCGAGTTGAAAATCATATTTTATTGAAGTTGGTTAAAGAAGTCATGATAAGGCGTAGTGGATTCGACGAAGAGAAACAACAACCCCATAACAACCCGCGGGTGTTGTAAAAGACTGAAACAGGAGACGGGCTGCTGCAGCATCTTTCTGATAACACAACACAAAATTATTTAAAAAATGCAGTTGCTAACCACAGGCAGGCTCTTCTGCGATCAAGAGAACCTCATTTTGAAACTATAATTAGATTTAAAAACAAATAACGTTTGATAAAAAAATTCTTGTCGAAAAAATAAAGAGATTGTATTTCATTCCATAGTTGTTATCGCTTCATCAATTCATCATCTTTATCATCATCATCATCATCATTACAGTTCTTCACAAGTCCACAACTGAACATAGGTATATGTTACGCAATTAGATCGAAGTAATTGTATAATGTCAGAGACATTTCGACGAGGACAATACACATAGACCTGAAAGTCAATTTGTGTTTGTCTCAAAACTGACATGAATGATAAACCACTAACCACTTAGCTTTTCAGTTGGTCTCTACAGCCAATATACACGCAGTACGACCGTTATCAGTGAATCGACGAACGTGACGTAGCAGCCGGAAAAATTAAAAATGATGCTATGTGTGACGTGAGAACGCGTTCATTACCTATTGAATTCCTATGGAGGTGTTGCGCAAACAGCGAAGAATTTATGTTTTTACGCACGCGCTTATCTACATACCCCTAATCCATAAATAATGTTTAATATAAACAATAATTGTGCAACAGGTAATACTTTTACTCGCGTCTGAAGTAAAAAAAAACAAGCAAATGATTATGTGTTGTATATTAATGTAGTTTTCTCATCTGGGATGCACAGATATATAAAATAAAATGATAAATACATATAAAAATACATTTAATATAATAAAATAAACAAACAAAAAATACATAGATAAATAAAATCCCAATCAGATGCAAACAGGGGGACAAAACGGCCTAAGATGAGGGGGAAAGGGAAAGAAACCTGCGTAAGACATCCCACGGTAAATCCAGGGTAATTGTAACCGACATAGCCTAACGGATCAGTAATGTACAGTGACAATTGGTCGGCCATATAGCTCGAAGAACCGATAAGCGATTGGGAAGAAAGATTCTTGAGTGTTAGCCTCGTACCGGAAAGTGAAGCGTAGGAGCGGCCCACATTAGGAGTGACAATCTGGTAAGAAATGCAGGAGTTTGATAGATGAAGTTGACTCAGGACGTGCTTTGTGACAACACTTAGAGGCTTATATTGAGCAGTGGACTTGTGAAGAATAATGAAATGAATGAAGT